TTTTTTTTTTTTTTTTTTTGTGGTCCGACTGCCCGACTAGTTTTGCCGATTGGCCGATACGGGGTGGGGGAGGGGGCTTGACCAGACAGATAATCCTCTGCCCACCACCCCGCCGCCACTGCATGTACCTTTTAACTTTAACTTCTAACACTATAAAAGAGATAAAAACATAATTTGACTGTGTATACCACTATATGCCTCAGAAACAGTTCAAACGGACGTACTGAGCATGAGGATATTTATAAGGCGTTACCGTGGAGAATATTCTTTTGATCTCAGATATTCCATGATTTACATATTAGTCCAGGGTCAACCTCTGGGCTACTTTAGTCCAGGTTTCGAGAATACGAAACCAGGACTGACTCTAGTCTAGGACAAACTATTCCAGGAGTTAGTCATGTTCTAACTTAATCCACTTTCGAGTATTCGGGGGTGGGGGGTAAAAGAAGCACTTCTTACGATGAATTTTTTGGATAACTTTAGGGAATTCCCCTATCACATCAAATAGCCCGGCAAATAATATTGCACTGGGCCCCTTCGCACCTCTAGTTACGCCGCTGTCTAAAATCTTAATTTTCTCGCCTCCTTTTTGAGGTGTAATTTTCGCTTACTCTCTTCTAAACGCTCCGAGATTTCACTACCAAATGTGGTTTTTTTTTTATTCGTGTGATTGTGAGTTTCTATCAGGTCAATTGCGGCCTGAGGCGGTCGGTAAGCCTGCTCATGACTGACGCTGCGCGTACGTCTTGAACTATGTTGGTGGACCTTTCCTATCATTCAACACTCTACCCCTCTTGTGTTATATTCTTACACTTTTGGAGGTCGGCTTAACCCACCAGAACCAGAACATAGGTAGGCCTATAAATTTCCCTCATTGTATTATGCACTATTCTAATTGTCAATCGCCGTGTTTTATTTGTTAGTTTTATAATCAATTCCTTTAGTTTATTATTATTTATTATTTTAGGGTCCACTGATTTAAAAAAAATCCTTAATTTTTTATACATAATGTTGAATTTGAAGTGAAAATCCATGCCTTGTTTTACGAATGTCATTTTTTTTTTTCAATTACCACCTGTGAACAAACGACGATTGGGTGGGTAGTCCTATCTGTCCTTTCTTTCTGCAAGCGCGCGTCGTGTGCTAGGTGTAAAAACCCTTATTCATCGCGGTGCGCGATATGTACAAGTTGAATTGGTCTTTTGCACAAAAACCTAAAAAAGATCAAGCCAACCTTGCACTATACAAACAGTGCGCTGTTGGGGATAGGCAAATAACAATGGGAGTTGCACTGATGACGTCATGATTGACTTATATTCTAAATAGTGCCTCAGTTTTTTGCGTCTAAAGCCTCATTTGCACTAGACACGATTACGACACGACGACACGATACAGCAGATGCTCGCAGTGTTGAAGATTACAAACTACGTGATGATATGTCGTTGTCATGTCGTAATCACGTGTCTGTGTAAATGTGGCTTTAGACGCAAAAAACTGAGAAGAAAGAGAAAGAAATAATTGATCGCCTAAAACGCATGAAAGGTCATTTTCGGGCGTCTAGATTTGTTTCGTGTTCTTTCATATAGGATTCTAATACATACCATAACATGCACCATTAATTCGAAGTCGTTACACTACATCCATCCAATAGAAAACTTTAAAAAAGCATATTTAGTCATTAAATTGTGTAGGCCTATTTGCATTGCTATAAATTAGTTCTAATTCTAGGTCTATTGATTCTTATGTCAATAAAAATAAAATCATAAAGAATAGGCCTATGTCATCTTTGTATGAAAACATGCCATGTAACCAAAAATGAGAATTTATCTTCGAAAAAATAATGTCGCTCACGAAAGCAGTACCCAATCACAGCACACTTACCATACCTGTTAAGCATTGATGAGACGCCAATCACAAACGTTCTTGTAAACTCGGTAACTAATGTAAACAATGTCGCGAGGAAAGCGACACATGTGAAGCAATTTGGACGAAAGTTCTCCGGTTTTAGTGGAATATTTCAATATGATATAAGCATACCAGCCTTTAAATAAAATACATTGGTAATAGTTGTAAGATTTTAGAGGTAGTAAATTGCATTTCCAGTCTTCTGTCGACTGTCATACCGTAGTTTTTTAAGCCAAAGTCGACCGTGCTGTACTGAATGTGTATTGTATTACTTATCTAGGCCTGCATTATTATGCATAGTAGGAAGGGCAAAAAGTAACGTTCATCGACTTTGAATGAGACAGGAAATTCCTGTAAATATATAATATATTTTGATTCTATTTGGAATTTTTTTGTCTATAATTAAAAAAATGTACATTTTAAAAGAAAACTGAGGCTGAATTACTTCAAAAAATAAGAACACATTGAGGCTGATGTAAAATTTCAAATGTTTTTATTTGCATGCAATGTAAATAAATAACATTAATCAGTATTTCTTGCCATGCCTGTTGATTTTTGTTTAACTGCTTGAAGACCTTGTTAATATGGACTGAATTAATGAATAAAAGTAAAGCAATTGATGATTCCAATAAGGTGAAACAAATGAATTTTTAATATACCTCAGTTCAGCCAGTTGCATCCCATCAGCACTTTCATTATCTCTCTGATCACTCACTGGGTATATACATTTAACTACACAACAGTAAACACAAGGTTGAAAGAAGTTTATGACAAAAATCTGAACTTTTATATGAATATTATTGAAACACTGTAGCACATCATATCACAGAACTGCTTTAAACATAGCTGAATATAGAGTTCAATCCAATCCACTTATAAACATGTGTTAAATATTACAATTATATAATATTATCAATGTAGCCAACCAGCATAAACAATTTAAAAGAAACTAGAAATAATGAAAGTTTTATTGTATTCATTATCATTTATCAGCAAGTACTGTTCTGTTATTTTCTTCTTTTAATATTTCATGTGCACGACTTGCACCACCATCCTTGAGATCCCTTTCGTTATATGTAGGCTATTCATCAGCTTCGACGGAAACTTAATAGGCCTTACTGAGGACTGGTATTTGTTGTTTTCCACAGAGTGGCACATCCTTAAATTTCTTTAAGCTTTTTACGCTTAATGACACAACCATACTCTAGGTTCTTACAACATGTATCACAAAAATATGCCTGAAACCGGCTCAGATTTATCATTTGAAGAATTTCTGTCCAACGCCATACTTGCAAGTGGAGTGTGTTGTTTACTATTTACATTGGACAAACGGCATAGAAGGTAGTTTGTGATTGGCTGAGGGCCTTGCAGCTAAGCCAAACTTCATTGTTAGTCGTCTTCTGATTGGTTATAGTTAAGTAGCAACTTTTGATATAAATTCTCATTTTTTGTTACAGTTTCCCCAAATTGACGATTGCCGACAATCAAATTATGTTACAATTTAATAGCATTGACATTTTTGTGCAAAAGCCAGGTAGCCCGGATTGGTGGGTCACAGAATTGAACGTTTTCAATCCTCAACTCACGGTCTAATATTAAGGGGGAAATTTCACGTTTTTGGTTAATGTTCCCTGAATAGTATTATGTAAGGTTTGTGGTCGCTGCACTGTACTCGAACGGACGTACACGGGACTACCGTTATACCATAGAGAAAATATTTTCTCTATGGTTATACACAATCCAATTAATAACGTTTAGTGAACATATCAACAATCACGACTCACGTTCGTGTTAGATTCCCCCGTTCACGCTATATATAGCAAGATCCTGCTACTTCATCTCCCTTTTTTCCTTTAACGAATGATTAATTAAGCTTTGTAATTATAACAAGGCCGCACATGTCAGCAACCAAACTTTAACTTTAACACAAATCATCTTTATGTTTATTTAAGAATAAGATTATGTCAATCGTTGAATTTCCATCTGTGTTGTGTTCAATAAAATCAATAATGTTCATTTCAGGTCAGTGTTCCGTATTTTAATTATCGAGTCCAGTGTTAATTATTTTGATGAATAATTATAGGTCTAGTGTTCATTATTTAAATTTAGGTTGTAACATAACCATCCAAATATCATGGTCTTCGCCGATTCCTTTGTGGTCTGGTGTTTGTCGGTGTTGATGTTTCCGGTGGTTCTGGGTTGTTGCGGATGTCTGCTTCAGGTGGCCGCTTCCTGCATCGCTGGAGTGATCATGGATGTTTGGAGTTTGGTTTTCTTTCACATCACCATCTCTATCATTCGATCGTTCCTACATTATCACATCGTTGTTTGGGAATTTTCGTGTCATTCCACGACTTCTCCTTACTGTTTGTCCATCAGTATCAATATACACTGATCTGGGTGCATGTTGATGTTTTGTGACAGTCCCATGACGTTTCAGGTCTGGTGTCCATACTCTGTCGCTCCCCCACCCCGTCGGGGAGAAAAAGCACAATTCGTCGGGGAATAAAAAAAATTATATGTATTTTTTACATATTAGTAGACTCTAAACTCGATTAAATAAGCATTTGAAACACCTAAATTGTCAAAGTTTTCGGGGGCTTCGCCCCCAGGACCACTTCCGAAGCCTTTTAATCGAAGCTCGACCACGCCCACTTTGGTTTCGTCGGGGAAATCTGACCAGTCGTCGGGGCGTCGCTCCCCCCCCCCCCCCCCCCCTCCCACGTCGGGCAAATCCTGGTCGGAGCTCGTCTCCTACTCATATTCAACTGTACTGGTGAGTACCGATTCTGAAGTGGTGTGTTACGGTACTGTAGCATTGCCAAATACTCATCATCACACTTATCCAGGAAGGATTTAATGGTTTGAACCGCTCGTTCTGCTTCACCGTTTGACTGTGGGAAGTGAGGAGATGATGTAACATGTTCAAATCCCCAGCTCTGTGTAAATGCTTTGAATTCATCAGAGCTATATTTCGGTCCATCCGAGAATAGGACATCTGGTATGCCTTGACGACTGAATACTTTCTTCAGTTTGGTAACAGTTTCTTTAGTGTCTACATTCTTTGTAACAATGCAGACCTCAACGTCTCTTGAGTAATAATCTACAGCAAGTAGATAGTTACGTCCCTTGTACTGGAAAAAGTCTGTACCAACCTTATACCATGGTCGTTTCGGTAATTCTGTTCCTCTCATTGGTTCTACTTGATTTTTCCTGTATCTGGTGCACATCTCACAGTTTCTCACAACTTTCTCTATATCACTTGATATCCCTGGCCACCATACTCAAGATATTGCATTTGCTGTCATCTTCGTAATTTCTTGGTGACTATCATGTAGATAACATAGAATCTGTGGTCTGAGTTTTGGTGGAATTACTAGACGTTTGCTTTTAAGGAGGCCCTCGTGTATGGAAAGACTACCTCGCTCTCTCCAGTAACTGTATATTGGAGAGAACGAGGGCGGGATGGATTTTTCATTCCAACCCTTCTGAACATAGTGCATTACCAATTTCAGAGTGTCGTCATTTCGCAGTTCTGATCTTATCTCCTCCAGTCTTTTGTCTGATGCTAGTAGAGTCACCATCACTTGTTTACGAAACACTCTACCTCATTCCTTAACTTTTCTTCACGGTCAATATCCTCTTTGCCACGTTGTTCTTTGTACCTGGGTGATCATGATAACGCATCAGCCGTAGGCCTATATAGCAGTTTCCCAGGCACATGATGTATGTCGAAGTTAAAGCGCATCAGTCTCATCCGAAATCTCTGGACTCGTATGGGAAGTTCATCAATGTCCTTTGTTAAGAATAAATGAACCAGCGGTTTATGGTCGGTTTGGACTCTAAACTTAAGCCCCACTAGCAGGTCGGCCCAATTTTCAAGTGACCATGTGGTGGCAAGTGCTTCTTTTTCGATTTGAGCATATCGATGTTCTGTTTCCCTCATAAATCTAGTCGCATAGGCTACTGGCCTCAGCTCGCCATTTTCTTGTTTCTGCAGAAGCACTGCACCTAACCCAAAACTGCTGGCGTCGGCTGATACAACGGTTTCTTTTGTGGTGCTGTAGAGTTTCAGTACTCTATCTGAGCTTAGTTCATTTTGTAGCTTGATGAATGCCTCTTGTTCAGCTTGGTTCCAAACCCAATATTGTTCCTTCTTCAGGAGATCTCGTAATGGTTTGGTAGCCTCTGCCAGGTTGGGAACGAATTTCATTTGTTGATTTACCATTCGCAGTAACTGTCTAAGCTCTGTGACATTGGTAGGTGGTTGCATTTTCCTGATTGCTTCGATTTGGATCGTTTTTCAATCCTTGACCATCGATTATCTGACCTAAGTAATCCAGTTTCGTCTGAGAGAATTTGCATTTCTCACTATTTAGAGTTAGACCACTTTTGTCTAATCTCTTCAGTACTGCATTGAGCCTATGGTCCTGCTCCGTCTGGTTACTGCCAGTGATCAGGATGTCATCCATGTGACAAACAACTCCTTCCAGATCTCTCAGCACTTGGTCCATCCTCTTTTGGAAATACTCCGGTGCTGATGATATTCCATAGGGAAGACGTGTAATTTTGTATCTCCCAAAGGGTGTCATAAATGTCGTGAGTTTGGTACGTTCTGGGCTAAGCATCACCTAATGAAACCCTGAGTTAGCATCAACTCTGGAGACCACAGTGCCGCTTGCTTGTATAGTTCTCTACGTAGTGAACGATTCAGCTTCGTCAAATCCACACAACATCTCCATTTTGCTTTGGCACCGCAACTATTGGTGCACACCAGTCTGTTGGCTCATAGATTGGTTCGATAACTCCAAGTTGCACCATCCTCTTTAATTTTACTATTGTCTTTTCAAGCAGTGGTAGAGCAATTCTTCTTGGTGTGTTGTAATACAAAATGGCTTGGCACCTTCTTCCAGTTGCATGGTATATTCACCATCTAATTTACCAAGGCCCTTGAATAGGCCTGGGTATTTTTCCTTTATTTTCGCCTTTGTAATTGAATATGTGACATCAACTGATTTTACGCTGT